GCAGTCGGCCGCCTCGCCGTCGGCCGCCTCGCCGTCGGCCGCCTGGCCGTCCGCCGCCTCGCCGTCGGCATCTCGCCGTCGGCCGTCTCGCCGTCGGCCGCCTCGCCGTCCACGTCTCGTCGTCCGCGTCTCGTCGTCCGCGTCTCGCCGTCCCGTCTCGCCGTCGGCGTCTCCCCGTCGGCGTCTCGCCGTCGGCTCTTCACCTTTGGTGTTGCTGCCACCGCGGCATTTTTCCGTCGCCGTGACAGCCGTTCGGCTATCTCCGGCGGTGTACTCTCCGTCGGCCGCCGCCGCTGCGTCTCGCCGTCGCCTTTTGGCCGTGCTGCCACCGCGGCCTTTTTCCTCTCACCGTGACAGCCGTTTTGCTGTTCTGGCGGTGTACTTCTCCTCCCCCGCCGCCGCTGCGGCTCTTCACCTTTGGCCGTGCTGCCACCGCGGCCTTTTTCCTCTCACCGTGACAGCCGTTTTGCTGTTCCGGCGGTGTACTTCTCCTCCCCCGCCGCCGCTGCGGCTCTTCACCTTTGGTGTTGCTGCCACCGCGGCCTTTTTCCTCTCACCGTGACAGCCGTTTTGCTGTTCCGGCGGTGTACTTCTCCTCCCCCGCCGCCGCTGCGGCTCTTCACCTTTGGTGTTGCTGCCACCGCGGCCTTTTTCCTCTCACCGTGACAGCCGTTTTGCTGTTCCGGCGGTGTACTTCTCCTCCCCCGCCGCCGCTGCGGCTCTTCACCTTTGGTGTTGCTGCCACCGCGGCCTTTTTCCTCTCACCGTGACAGCCGTTTTGCTGTTCCGGCGGTGTACTTCTCCTCCCCCGCCGCCGCTGCGGCTCTTCACCTTTGGTGTTGCTGCCACCGCGGCCTTTTTCCTCTCACCGTGACAGCCGTTTTGCTGTTCCGGCGGTGTACTTCTCCTCCCCCGCCGCCGCTGCGGCTCTTCACCTTTGGTGTTGCTGCCACCGCGGCCTTTTTCCTCTCACCGTGACAGCCGTTTTGCTGTTCTGGCGGTGTACTTCTCCTCCCCTGCCGCCGCTGCGGCTCTTCACCTTTGGTGTTGCTGCCACCGCGGCCTTTTTCCTCTCACCGTGACAGCCGTTTTGCTGTTCCGGCGGTGTACTTCTCCTCCCCCGCCGCCGCTGCGGCTCTTCACCTTTGGTGTTGCTGCCACCGCGGCCTTTTTCCTCTCACCGTGACAGCCGTTTTGCTGTTCTGGCGGTGTACTTCTCCTCCCCCGCCGCCGCTGCGGCTCTTCACCTTTGGTGTTGCTGCCACCGCGGCCTTTTTCCTCTCACCGTGACAGCCGTTTTGCTGTTCCGGCGGTGTACTTCTCCTCCCCCGCCGCCGCTGCGGCTCTTCACCTTTGGTGTTGCTGCCACCGCGGCCTTTTTCCTCTCACCGTGACAGCCGTTTTGCTGTTCTGGCGGTGTACTTCTCCTCCCTTGCCGCCGCTGCGGCTCTTCACCTTTGGTGTTGCTGCCACCGCGGCCTTTTTCCTCTCAC